AGGGACGATCAGGGGGATGGATGTTGCTTTCACCGGCAACATTAAAGGGCACCGCTGGTGATCAAATTTGCATCCGTGACAGAATCCCACGTAGTCCTCTGTACTGTATTTACCAAGCGTTAGTGAGATCAAAGTGGGCCGCTCGAGCTCATAAGTATGTCAACAAAACTAGTTCTACAATGGATATCGACAATGGTCCATCACGGACGAGACTAGTATGTTTACGGGCCTCTGGGTAGAGCCACAGGCGTGAGTAAACATCTCACGAACTTTCCAAATTTTCATTCGCAAACAGACTGTATTATTTTTCTTCTTGAACAAAATAGATCCCGGCATGGCTGCTCTATTGAGTCACCAATTTAAAGATAAACAAGCTTACCAAATAAGACAAAAAAATAATAAACACATAAGTCGGTCCAACTGGAAAAAACAATCTTCTGGGGTGATCGTTTATTTTCAAGTCTCAATCGGGGCGCGTGAAATAGCCGTACAAATCTTGTTATTGCGTGATTGTCTTTTTTTGCCATATTATTGGTACATGCGATATATGAGTGAGTGTGGGAAAATGTCTACTACTGGCAGATCGTCGCCGTAGCAAATAATATGGTCTGGAAAACCCGAGCAAAATCCGTCGGAATTACAATCCTGCAACTACATCAAAGCGGTGGATCGCCACCGACAAAGCCAAATCGGGAATAGGCAAATATAATAGAAATTGGAATTACTTTTTTTCCCACAATACCGGAATTTAGGAAATAGTGTCAAAGTTACGATGGTAATGTCACACTACAAATATAATGTGCATAAACTATTTCTCGCGCATCCTAAAATAAATAGAATGATGTGAACCCGCATACGCACGTTAGTTACAACATGTTTCAAGTCTCAATACAAAATCTTAGCTTATCGTAGTCGGCTGAGATCTAAAGGTAATCCCCCATGCCAGTCAGCAGCATGCTTTGTTTCGTAGGTTGGATAGGGGCTGGAAAGTTGTTCTCAAGTAGCAAAGATAAAAGTAAACCGACTCAGTTGGTTGCCAGCATATTTAGCACATATCTAACCAAGCCTCTGTTAAGATTGCAATTAACGCGGTCCTCAAAGTCGACCGACGCCTGTCAGTCACTCTGTGATAACGAGTAATGCCTATGGATTGTCATTCATACACTTAGACGTTTGTTTGTGTCAGTTTGTCTGAAATTTATGGTTATTAGTCTAAAATTGACACCCATTGAAAGGATTAAAAACGGACAGAAAAGACCACCTTGGTTTGGTGCTAGACAGCCGTTTTACAAATTTTGCTCTCACGTACGATGGAGTTGTCACTTCTAGACTAAAGTTAAAATTACGACTTCGGAAAATTGAAAATGCTTGACTGTCATTTACGCGCGTATCGCACATACTGATAATTGCTATATATATAAATGTAATTTATTGTGGTTGAACGTTTCAATAGGACACACCGTGGTAATAATGGGCGGGCAACCGGGGATTAATATGGTCGTTCATTTCTAATTGATAGGCGGGGCACTGCGCTGGTGTGTCACTAGGAGCCGCCAAGAGGTCCGCGGCATGCCAATGCTACCGTGTGAGAACTGGCAGATAGTTAGCGGTGGTATGGTAACCCCTGTGTAATGTAATCTACAACTGAACGTTCCGATGAGAAATATACCGGTCATACGGGCGAGAAAACCAACTATGATTAGCGTTACCATCGCTATTATAGTATACGAATAAATTCCGCGTGAAGTTACGGCTGATATAGTCGTAAATCAATCGATTTGTCTAGCGATAAATCAATCGATCCCATCTATCAGCGAGTAGGCAATCAAACAAACTCCTCGACAATTGCCGCATGTGACTGCCCGCCTTGATAAACTCTTCATGCCAGTGGCTTAAGTGTCTTTTGTTTTTTAAACTTTTATAACCGTTTGTAAATTGGGATACCGGTTTTGAGGATAATTTCGTGGGGTTTACTCGCGTCGTGTATAAAGAATACGAGCAATTATTCACTAAACAGGCGTTGTTGCGCGGGGTCAGTGTTTATATAAATAGAACCAAGGCTTTTATGGGGGATGATTGTATTTAATTTTTTAATAATATCAACGTCAGATTGTAAGGTTGTTATAGCACGGAAGGTTATGGTAACATGTACGGTTTGAGCATGGGTGTGACGGGTAAAAGTTTTGAGTGTCAAGCTTTGTTTTCGCTTTGCTGTTCGGCAACTGGGAAATGACCGTGTCGGGTAAGATCAGAGGTCACTACCCGCTGTCACTCAGTCTTTTGTGCTATTGTTTGGAAGGCATGGTGGGGGTTGGAGTTTTTTCTACACATATCGAACATCAAAGCGTCCCGATCTATGCTATGATTAGCACAATGCACGCATTCAGCACCACTGTCTGTGTACTTATCTTCCGAGCTTCTGTACTCACAGTTCACCGCCCCTTGTCACCTAAACTCAAGTGTAAATGGTTTGTCTGATTTTTTGAAATGTGTCAGTCGCGAGTGTATCACGACCGTCTCAATTTTATGTACATTAGCGAAAAGTGTGAAGCGCTGGCTGGCCAGCATCACTGCAAACGTTAACCATACCCGATGATGGAAATTTCAGGCGAAATAAAAATATATTTTATTCGTAATCGAGCATTAAAACTAGCATTATTTGTGTCTTCCAGAATTGTTCTACTCTGGTGTTGTCGCGGCTATGCACACACTGAATTTCGTTTTAAAAAATGGACTACGAACTATCGACCACTGTGGTATCGAGTAACGAACTCAGTGGATTCCGACCGCTGCCGTGTGTGTCAGCCACGGTTGAATCGACGCCACTATCACCTACACCAGCCGCAGTTTGCGTCTTGCATGTTTCAGCACTGTTCACATTGTGGCGCATAGCGGCGGACATCAAAGCAACCCTAGACCTGTCAATCAACTCCGCCACTGTTAATCACTTTAGCCAGGGAAGCTCCACGTGCCGGCTGGCTGAATCCAACGAGGCAAATATATTTTAGGCTTCGCATAAAACGTTACATGGTCATAAAATAAATGATAATTGTTGTGTGCGTGGTTACACAAGTAGTCGAGACATAAATCAGACATTGCGTTAACTTGACAATAGTCAGCTAATGTCTATCGGACAATTACGAACATTCGACACAATCCATCGCTTCTGTTTCAAAAATCAGTACCTAGCACTTTTTTAAATTTGTAAATATCCTCTAGGTTAATGAATATAAAAATGGGTCCATGCGTGCATGGGCAACATTATAACAAAAATAATTTCGTACCCATTTCTGTTTTGGGAAAATTGAAACTCCCACTGGTGTTCCACGCACCGTGACTAGTGGTACACCGCCGATTAGAGGACACACGCACATATATGTTGCTGGAAGTCGGCGGTGAAATTCAAAGCTGGGAAAAAAAAGCCGATGTTACCAAGAGAACACAATGCCAGAGAGGAAACCCCAGTGAATTCTAGCATCCGGTGTGATATCGAGATGTAATAGCAATTTCCCGATTGAGTGGCACATTCACCAAAGGCGGGTCAGTAAGGCGGAGCAGTGTGTGGCCGCCGTCATCAGTTGGCCTCCTGCCTTTTGAAGCTGCCTGCCTTCAGCTGATTACAAAAATGGAATTTAAGACTTAATTTTGTCTGTTTTTCCTTCGGCAAAAATAAGATTACTGCTCACTGTCGATGGCGTTTCTGCCCCATCCTATCCTAAATTGTGAAAACAGATTTCCGCCGCAAGAATATCATGACAAGCGGGAATAGAATCATAATCGTTTTCAGTGTTGACTCGTAGTCAGAGACCGGCATTGGTAAACAAATGGAGTACATGCCATGCGGTTTAGTCTAGTTGGAGCTCTATGAGTAATCGTGTGCGTGTATGTGCAATGACATTTTACCTGATATGAGCCTACTAACTCATTCACAAGTGATTCATTTCTCAGAGATAGTTTTTTTTTATCTCCGTATATTTGTACCAAAGACCGTATTATTCAGAATGTATTGGCGGTGATTCAAGCCGCCAACAAAGTTCGGCTATTAACAAAGTGCTTCGCAGGGAAAGCATTTTATTCTCCCTCTCGCTGTTCTAAAACAGATGCAGAAATTTTGTTCACATGGCCCCTGTATAAGCGCCTTTGTCATGGCACGCATTATATCCTATACTGTTATCCCCTTGTACATTGCCGACAAGAAACGTATTGAAATTGTACGCCGACAAAACCTCACCAAGAGAGCGCGAGAGAGAACCACTCCAAGCCGACATCGACAAATAGAATCATTAATACCAGACTGTGTTGCCTTAGATAGAGACGCGGCAATAGCGATGGTTTTCGCGTAACCGGTTCGAGCCATAATTTAGCCGGAGGCGATAATAAATCAGAAAATGCCCCGGGCAAGCTTTGTAGACACGCGCGAACGCAGGGAAGCCTCACCGCTACTGCTGTGTATTCAAGCTACCGGCTCCCCTTCGTGGGCGGCGAACTTTTATCTTTTTATCAATGGAGTTCCGTGGAGACAAAAAATGAGCCAGCTCTGAACTGCGATCCGAGCAAACAAAAACACTCTGCGCTGCCTTATCACTTAATCGAGGGCCTTGTCAGTGGCGTCCAATCAGTGGACAGTTTGGTCGGTGACACGTCTTTGATGGCACGAATCCAATTTGCAGTGTGTCTAAAAGTGGCACATAGTGATTACTTCATTTACTTGCCCGCCTTTTGTCCCGCCTTGCCCTGCCCACGTAATAATCGCTTCTATTATATGTGTCAACAAACACACAGCAGGCCCTTTGTCAGCACAAAAGATTCGATTTCCTTTTAAATCACCCGCTAGTTGGCGCTAATTGGACAGCGGTAAAGATGACACGAAGTGCCCTCCAATGCGATTGGTTGGCGGTGTTTCAAAGCTCCTCGTTCGCGTCTGATGTGCGACCGCCTATTCACACTTCTCGTGTACAAATTGGACAGCGCTGGGAGGAGAACGAACATAACTTCCCTACCCACACTCGTGTTAAGATCACTGTCTGCACTTGTGCCAAAGGCTCCGTGACCCGTCAACCCACCGTTCGTGCTCGTGCCAGAGTAAACTACCAAAATTCCTGAGGATTCAGTCTTGTTCTGTTCCGAGGATATGGCCACCGACAGAGCTTCCAACCAGCAACATTCGGCTGCACGGTTTATTCAGGTTAGTTTCGATTCAGTATTTACTTGCTCAAAAAAAGGGGTATGAGCTTTTATTATATATTCACTGTTGTGTTTTGGCGAACCTCATCGTTTGTCGATCGTTTAAAATCACTCGTGGTAATTATGTAGTAAACATCGAGAATGCGTATTTTAGGCCATCGTACGTATGTCAGCCAGCCCGAGGGTTACACCTCACTATTAAACATTTGCCATGCTTATACTAATAGTCGTTTTTATTTTTTTATTTATAGCATCCAACTCCAACTTCTGCAGACTTATCGAAACCAAGCCCGTTAGCTATGTTAGCGGCAACTTGTAGTAAGATCGGCAATGAGTCAGTTATCCTGCGTCAGCCAACTGCACCAGTTGTTCAGCAAGTCAGCACTGCGCCATCCATTATGACAGCCGCTCCAGTTGTTAGCGAGCATAAGAGCTACTTTCATCCGTGGACTCAATCTACTACCGTTGTTCCAACTGTGCCGTCTATGAATCTTATTCAGAGTGCCCGGAGCCCAATCGCCGCGTCGACACCTCTACCCTACCAGCCGATGGTCCATCACCATTCACCAACTCCCGGGGCAACAGTTTTACCCAATTACCATCACCATCTTGCCGTGTCCGTCTCACCAGGATCGTATACACACGAACTACCACTTACGCCGCCAGCAGAACCAACATTTACACCCGGATTTGCGTATGAACTAAATCATAGTCCAGTTAAAATTGTACAAAACAGTGCCTGTTCCAGTGCGTTTACAAGCCCAATAATGGCTTCACCGTCCCAGTTCGCCGGTCATCATCACCCACTTGCCATTACAACGGCACATCGACAAGTTCCAGCGTTCGAGGAGGCAAGCAGGGCGCCATGGTGGAGTGTCGATTCGCACCCATCAGCCAAGGGACATTCACCGTTAACACCGTCCGTATCACCCACCGGTTTCTGTATGCAGCCTATTATGTACGGATCTGCACCGACTTACCCAGTTCAGATAGGCGGAAGGTCCACAATTGCTACAGCCCGGCGCTGCAGACGATGCCGATGTCCCAACTGTGTCAACGCCACAAACTCCAACAACCCAAGCAAGAAGAAGCAACACATCTGTCACATACCCGGTTGTGGAAAAGTTTACGGCAAGACATCACACTTAAAAGCACATCTTCGCTGGCATACCGGTGAAAGACCGTTCGTCTGCAATTGGTTGTTCTGCGGAAAAAGTTTCACCCGATCTGACGAACTCCAGCGCCACCTTCGCACACATACCGGCGAAAAGCGATTCGTCTGCACAGAATGCGGCAAGCGGTTCATGCGTAGCGACCATCTCTCCAAACACGTGAAAACCCACACATTGAAGAAAGCGATAACTACAGCGACAAAAGCACAGGACAAAGAAAACGAATCTTCGCAGTGAACTCTATTTTGAGAAAAGGACTCAATTAATTTGTAACATGTGCAGTACTAGTAACTTTTACGTTGGATTACTCCGACCCCACCGATGTACCCTAACTGGGCACAGAACTTATTTATTTTTGTACTATTTAGCATTAATGCTAAAGCTTTTCTTCCTTTTCTAAAGCAGTTATTATTTAGAAATCGGATAAAAGTTGTTTGAAACCTTCGCTCATCAAATGAGTCGTTAGGTATTCATTCTGTAATTAATTGTAATTACTGCGTTTTTTTTTTACTTATAACAGTGTTAAAATAAAAGACACGTTGAATTCTATGTCATTGTTTGCTGGCGTGTGATTTTGTATGTGAGATTGAGTCGCCCCTTATCGCCCTCCAAACACCCCTGTATTATATTTCTGCGAGGCCAACACAGTACTAAAGCTCAATACAATCAACAGAGTTTGCCTGTATTTTGTACTGCAGAGTTTCTCAGAACATTTGCACGTACAATGATAAGATTCGATTCCTATTGCCACGGTGTTGCCACATTCATAGTTACAAAGTTGTGCACTTGAACAAACCCTGATGTGCATGATCCACCCACATATAGCCGGTAATTGATATATTATTATGATATATAAGTTGTGTTTTTAGTTATGCATAACATTTACACAAATTAAAAAAAAAATATCGGTTTACTACTTCTGGTATATTGCCCCATGTCTCTGAAATAATGCTAGGTACTAACATATGTGTCCGGGAGTTTACCGTCTTCGATCCTATACGTGAGCGTTTGCCTCTCGGCGCTGTTACGAGAATAAATTCACTCGTCCAATAATTTATTCAATGGTGTATGGTGTGGTTTCATTGTACACATTCCAACCCCCAACAAGATATATTTATTCCTGTAATTAAGATTTTGTGGCTCGCGTGTTTAACTATATATTGTTATTATTTCAGTACGTGTTTATGTTAGCTTGTTTTTTTAAAAAGTGTAGAACATGTGACTATGGCCAGCCATATTTTTTCATCTGTTCTTACAGGCCGTTGTGGAAATATACACGGTGAAAACAGAATATGAATAATCCTGTGTATTACATGCCATGTGCCGTTGTACTACTTGTCGGTGTTCATGGTAACGTTTTTTTTCTAAAACTGTTGACAAATTATGGTTATTATTTACAAAAAAACGCACCGCGAGTTATAATCCCCGAACGGTGAACATACAAATAAAAACAGTTTAATATAAACATTTTTAATTAAAAACGTAGACATGGACCATTTGTCACATTTGCAATTCTTATCTGTATACCGAATGTTCATTTGTCCACGCATTGTTCTAACCACTTTTTCAAACGACTCGGTGATTGAAATACCCCCATATAATCGTGTAAATAACATAAGTCGAGTTTTTATCCATTCCTATAGAACTTTAATTTAATAGTAACAATATTCTTCTTATTTTTAAAAAAAGTTACGTTTCCAACAAGATTTGTCGAATTCATGAGATCTACCCAGCACACACTATGCGTAGTTTAAAAACCTGTGTATTTCTTGTATTTATTGAATTAATTTTTGTTATTACCCCAGCAATTATCATAGAAGCCCGAACACTAACAGGGAAACTGTGTCGTTCATGTAGAGCCCATAACCTAAATACTAGTAGTTGTAATCTAAAATATACATCATGTTTTATTCCATTTTCATTTCAAATTCAAAGCGAAGAAAAGGTAAAAAACTAAGGATTTCTAAATTTCTCGTGCTGAACGTTTTGTTGTCAGTTTGAAGCCAGTGCGGAGTGATCCCCGTGCCAGCATAGGAACAATCATCGATAACGAACATTTGGCAATTTCACCCGTTTCCAGGCAACAATTACACGATGACTGTAGCCTCCAAAGGAACAGGAACAATTTCCACTGTGAGTTTCGGAATAAATCGGCACATTTTCACATGACGCTTGTACCTCGGCACTCAAACTGTTCTTTCCATGATCGTTTTCGTAATTTGTCAATTTCGTCTTCTGTTGTCAAGCCTATTTTCGATTATTTGAAATCACGCTAAATGCGCATGCGCTACAAACATCGGCATATCTCATAAAACAAAGGGAGATTAAAATACAATAAAAATAACTACCCGTAGGACGAATCTTGGCAAAAACATTTTACTTTGAGGGAACTTCCGACATCTTTTATTTCCAGAAATTACATCAGCTAATATTACTTATTTTTTTGAAATTCACTTTGCTTACATTTTGACTGAATTGTGACAAATGAATAAAATGTCTTTCCGCCACAAATTCTCACGAGAGTACTGTATGTACGTGCACTTTCTATAAATACAATTATATATATAATTATTAAAATTCAAATTAAAAAAAAGTTTCACCAGTAAGTTATAAAAAGACGAGAATTAAACATGAATACAGGAACAATTTATTGTACTGCGTTCATAAATGGATAGGAATAGGAAACGCGATATTCTGTCTCGCCGGAAATTTGTTCTTGTCTACAACTATCATAATTCTTATGCATGTCTAATCGTGGTCGTATGATATGCGAAACCATTTACTTATTTGGCGAGGACGCCATTTTGGAATTACAAAAGAACTACAACACGGAGTTACAAGTATAAACATAAAACACTCAATAATTATCTATGACGTCATTAACAACGCCTGTTACGCGGTAATTATCATTGTAACAAGCCGTCTTTTATTTTATGTAAATTTACCCAATAGATTAATAATGGAGTAAACGACCAATTATTCAACATCGATTTTTAATGGTTACGTTGTTTTTCAATACGCAAACTTTAAGTTAGGTAATCGTGAACAAAATCGCAGCCCGAAATTTAGGCGCCGATTTGTTTTCATCTTTTCTGTTTTAAGCTTAAAACTGTAGACGGGACATGCCTCTTTGTCTGGTCGTAATGGGACAAATGTTCCGACCATTAGCATATGTAACTAGTTCGATGTGTCGATTGAGAGGTCATCCTCACCCGGCCACCCAGTAACACGGACAACTTATAACCAAACCGCGTGTGGCACAACCAGAAATGCCATGTTCTGGTAGTATTCTGCTTATATTTCGGATGTACAATTTTCTCCGTTTCAGTTGGAGATTGGAGATCACGTTGATGTTCCGCTGAGACAACCGGGTGGTCGTGAAAAGTGAGGAGCACTTGCGTAAACATTCCTGATCGGGTGTGAGGTGGGGTGGGTGAATGAATTAGATGATGTTATTAGTCGGCGTGAATCAGACGATTTACCGAGAGTAAGCCGGTTGTGTGTGGCATATATTAACTCTTTGTAATCATCCCTAGTTACTTTGATGTATAAGGACTTTAAAACATAAAACCAGCAGATAGTCAGATAAAACTATTCCCTTTATTTTGTACATGTGCCGTGTAATCGGAGTAGAACGGCGCCCTCAGCAGTCGCAAGGGGAGCAAAAAAACCCACAACATGTCATTTTACTAGTATCAGTTGGCATTTATACACAACGGCTTCCCGAAGTACGCGTTTTGCAATATATGTTCTGCTACAGAGATTGGTTTACGACGATTAATTAATTAAATGTTGGTTATTGACAGGTACTCGAAAAAAAACGAGCTCCTAGAGACCTTGAAGTCAACGACGCTCGTCACGGTAGATTTGAATACAGTCTCTTGCTTGTTTTTATTTGTGTGTGTTTCCAATATTATTTGAGTGTATAATTGGCGAAAGTCGAGTTGCCGCGTTCTAACCGGCCTTTTCGTTAACCCTGCTTTCGCTATTTATACAGTCACATCCTACTAATATTTTATTTTATTGAAGAAAAAAAGAAAAAGAAAAAAAAATATCCGTTGATACCAGTTATAACTGATCTGAATATACAAAATTAATAATTTTACTATCGTATAATGATTTATTCAAACTACTTGTTAGTCTACAATTAAACATACATTGCTCTGGTATTCAACTCGTGTAAAATAAATAACCATGCTTGAAATATAGAAATGGTCGGCGGTTCGTGGAAACAACACTTTAAGCCAAAAAATGATTCGGCCCGCCGAGAAGCATATTTGACGATTTGAAATAGAATTTAATTTCTTCTGACGATTTCACTGCCCATAAAACAATTTCCTCAAAAAAAAAATGAAGTATGAACATAAAGCTAAAAGGTATATTTTTAGTAAGATTTTTTCAACACGCACATTAATTAAAACTGCAAACAGCTTTTGTTGTCAGATTACAACTCTGAAATAATAAAGATTGTTTATTTGTTTTTAATTTTTGCGGTAAAATTTGGTGGCGTTTTGCAAAAATGACCATCTGATCATTGCGATCGATGTGTTTGCATATGAATATGGCTACGATAAAACCGGAGAGGATTATGAGTTTTTAAACAGGACTCTGTGGCCTTGTACAGAGATTTGAATCACCAAGGTTAGCAACACCGACAAATGTTTGAGCTGAAAAGTGGAGATTCAATTGAAAATTTGATACGATCGGCGACGAGTTTCTCTAGCGCTGTAATGATGGAGCCTATAATCAAAGCCGTGTCGTTGAAGTGCACGTTACTACGCCCAGAGCTGCGCTCACTGACGATGTGCTGGCTGAAAGCACAGGACCAACTCGCGGAGAATTAAAAAAAAACTATTATTGAAAATAATAGCAGGGGTCTTCAATTTTATGATTAAAACGCCAGCAAATGGAACTCTAAATAACTTCCTTCGGCATTTTGCAACCGTGATACCAGTCCGCCGCAGGTAAAATAGCGTTTTCAATGAAAACATATCAACTCGCGGCGTGATAACCAGCTAAACCGCCAGACAGTTTCCCGCCCATTTTTGCACTGAATATTACCACTATACAACTATACAACTATACATTTACCATTTTTAGATGTTTTAAATTCTTTCAAGTTAAAAGGTATTATTTCAAAAATCTTGGAACAGCAAACACTTTTCACAAACAATCCTGATCGTTACATCCCACCATTAACGGCACTCGACAGCGGCACAAATAAATCCACGAAAATCAGCGTACTGTTTCAATGCAACTTGAAGGGGCACCCAAATCCAGTCGAGCGAGTGTGTTTTGTATCCAAGAAGATAAATTGCAAATCTAAATACTACCAAAACATTAGAATTTCTCTTTAAATAGAAGAGATTTTCATGTTAATGAACTCACATATTTAGACAATATTTAAATTACTGATAGTACGGACGAGCTGGTAGCATATTTAATTCGCTGAACCAGTTCGCCACGTTTAGCGGTAGAGTAAACGGATCTGACCCCAAACTAATATTTCCGCCATAAACTCCCTGAATCTCGAATCCACAATGCATTAT